GATAACGTCGGTCATTTCAAGCAAAAATGTTCATATGAATGTATGTCCGGTTCCCCACTGTTTCCGAGATAGAGCTATTTGAATGTCTCGTGTATTTACTTTTTTCCTGCACCCTTCGTTCAACCTCATAAACGCATGCGGGAATTTACTCTTATACGTCTGTTGACTGTTGTGCTCACATTGTAGAAATGTTCAAAATGCCTCGCGTATTCACAAATGTCTCGAATATGCAGATATGCTGTATGTTTACGGTTTCCGTGACGGTAGTGCTGCTGCTGCTGTTGAAGAATACCGTCGACGCTTTCCTGCACGCGGAATTCCGTATCGTGAAGTGTTTTCCAAGGTTTTCAATTCTCGCTCGCTCAAATAATGGATGCCCGTATTAAGGGACGTCACGACGTACTCAGACGAGCAACACGCCATGTTCACGCAAGTGCTGAAAAATGCATTGTTGTTAACGGTGGGATCTTCGAAAACTTACTGTGATCTGTAAAAGTGCACTTGAACCAGAAATATTAGAAATGGCACGTAGTATTTCTTTCTTGTCAGTAATTTTGCAACTGTACATTCAAATAGCTCCATCTCGGAAACAGTGGGGAAGTGGACGCAGGGTTGGGAAGTAACTCGTTACTTGTAACGAAGTTACCGAGGGGGAAACCGCTGACCAAAATCTTGTACACCAATGCCCACTAATGCCCAGTGGGCATTACTTTATCTTATTATCGTCTTTTATTTCATTTATCTTGTTTTATTTTATTTTATCTTATTGTATCTTATTGTATCTTATTTTATCTTTATAATGCCCCAGCAAGACGTAATGCCCAAAAAATGCCCTAGTAATGCCCAGTAATGCCGCAAATCTGTACACCACAATGCCCTCAGCGGTTTCCCCCTCGGAAGTTACAGTTACAGTTACTTCTTTTTGGTAACTCTAACTTAACTTCGTTACTTTCTCTACATCTGTAACTGTAACTTAACTCAGTTACATTTTTTCGATAACTAGTAACTAATAGTAACTAATTTAATAGTTACATTAATAGTTACTTTATATATATTTTCAACCTCCACAGATCGCATTAGGCCTTGCATTTGCGCATAAACGCCTTTACCGCCGCTGTACAAATCAAATGCAGATTTGATATTTTTATTTTTATTGCAAGGGAGTAACTGCAAAGTAACGATTCGTTACTTTTCGAGTAACTGTAACTGTAACGCGTTACTTTTCAGAATTTGATAACTTGTAACTGTAACTAGTTACATTGTTAGCGAAAAACTGTAACTATAACTAGTTACTTTTATGAAGTAACTTTCCCAACTCTGATTGGACGTATATTCATATGAACATTGTTGCTTAAATTGACCGATACTTAAAATCACCTCCCAGAATATTGACCTCTCCTCCTGGGACACCCTGTATACTCGGGTATATCTCCCGCATTGTCAGGACGTTACTATGCCAAACCTCGTCGGCCCGCTTTGCCCCGGAATTGCTGCAATAAAACGAGAACGAGTGATAGCGACTGTCGAATTGCGCGCTTTATCTCGCACAATTTCGGTCACGTTTGCCTCACGATGCGCTGGAGAGATAACCGGGGAATATGCGCCGCCAAATATAGTCCGTTGCAAATCGCGCGACGACCGACTCTCGGCGCGGTGAAACTTTGCATTTCTTCAGATCTTCGCGAAGAGCTTCGCGGCGACGAAGAGAGACCCACGGACTCCGAGGAGATGAATCGTCCGCTCGTCTAACCGGGGCGGGACAGTCGCGGACTTTCGTTTCCCGAAATAATTAAGCGTCCCCGTGCTGTCGCGGCCAGAAATATTATTTGAGGACCCGACGAGCGAAAATCGACTCGGCTTTCCCACATTCGCGTTCGCTTTCGTAACCGCCGGCCGGTCTCTCCCGTCTCGCTTCCTGCGCGGCTTTTCTGTTAAACTGCCAAGAAGTTCAGCGACGTATTTGATACCCGATATATCTCACGCGCCCGAAAATACGCGTTCCGTATTTTCGCGACGGGGGCGCGTTTCCCTCGGAGGGGCACCCGCGGTTTCCTTGGCCGACCACGTGGCGCCTCGCGGACGCGGGTCCGCGCGCGGGGTGCGTTTCCGCCGCGAGGGAAACGTGCGCGCAGCCTCCCACGTAGCGCCAGCAGCAGTTTTAACGGATCGCGCACCCAAGTTCGACAAGTAAGGCCGTGGATCTCTCACCCACGCGCCGAGCGCGACTCTCCTCGCGTGTCGTTTCCGTTTAGTCCTCTGGCTGCGCGGAGCCACTGCGCGGCCCCTCGTCGTTCGCTTTGTCCGCGAAGGGACCACCGGAGTAATATCTCGCCGGAACTTGGAGACACGCCGAATGTGCCGCGATCATTAAGTTGAAAAAATGTTTTCTGCTCTCTAAAAGTCAATCGGTGGATTATCACTGAAAACAGTGAACACTAATTCGCAGGTATAAGTACACTACTGAAAATCGCAGTGGTACACACGGGGAGAGGATTTTCTCTTACAATTTACCCGGAAAATCGTGGGACAAGACGGCATTTCAAAGAATTTTATGAGTTTTTCGAATTTTACTAGCAGAACGTAATAAAATTCTTGGAAATGCCATGTTGTCCCGCGATTACATGATTTTCAGAATAAATTTTCAACGAACGTCTCACCGATTCGACCACTGAGACACGCGGTAATATTTGTCGCAATAACAGCATAAAGATATCTTCGCATCTATTTTTCGACTTTACACTGCGCGCCGATTGTACATTGTCCACTGTATAACAATCGATACATTATCGAGAAATCCTTTGAGCATATTGATTTGCTTACGCAAAGTAGAACGTTTCTACTCGCAAAGAGCACATTGTGGACCTAGGCTGGGGATGCTGGAGTGATTCTGCACTTTTGCACCTTTTGCACTTAAAACTGTCTGTTTCGTGGAAACATTTGTGTAATATACTCGTACAAATTAAATGGCTAACGTGTACAGATCGAAAGCAGCTTGCTATTCCAGCTAAGTTAAAGAACAATATGGCATCACTGAAACTAAGTTTGTAAGTCTAACAAAAATTAATAGTGAGCAACACACATACCACATGTACTGTATGTGTGTTGCTCACTATTAATTTTTATTAGACTTACAAACTTAGTTTCAGTGATGCCATATTGTTCTTTCATTTAGCCGGAATAGCAAGCTGCTTTCGATCCGTACACGTAAGTCATTTAATTTGTGTATTACACAAGTGTTTCCGCGAACTGATGGTTTCTAGGTTAGAAAGGTGCAAAAGTGCAGAATCACTCCAGCATCCCTTTAACTTGTGAATGTAACGGGCCTCTTCGGCGGGACTATTTTTAAATGCAAAAACTTTGGAAGGCAATCGCATTGTCGCGTACCGTTATTTCGCTCGAAAGTCCATCGTTGCAATCGGTATCGCGAAGACGCATACAAAAATAGATGTTATCGAGTGTTTACGCACTGCGACGCGACGTAGAGTAGAAGTGTAATAATGTGGAAGTCACTCGGCGATACGTAGATACGATCGTGAATGGATCCGGAGGTGCGCGGGCAGCTCTATTCGTAGATTGAAGATAATCGAGCGCGGAGGAGCAAGAGACCGGGGAGAGAAGGAGCAAAAACTCTCGGTGCTGAGCAATGATGTCACAGCCAGACGATAGCCCTGAGAGAACGTTTACCCCGGTAGCTCGAAAATAGGTTTATACGCCTATGTATAGCGCTTCGTTAAATGTATTAAACGCCGCGCTGCATCGGGACACTTTTGCGGCTCGCGACGGTGGGTCGGCGCTCGACGCCGACAAATAAATTTATCGTTCACCTAGATAGCCTGTTTAGGCGCGGGTTGTAAATGTTTATACGGCGGGACATTAAAATCGACACGTCCAAGGTGGCATTATCGTTGGCGTCGTTCAACGATTCGCGGCGCTTTAATTATAACCTGCGCCGTAATTACCACGCAGTCGCCTTTCGCGCGCGCGCTCGACGACTGCGCTAATAAACTGCGGGCGTTCGATTAGAAGTTCGTCGGTTGTTTAATTGCGCGTACCCCTTCATTAACGCAGAAACGGCGTTCGGTTTTGCGCGTGTCGCGTCGCCGAGATTGCAATTGCGAGCACGCTCGCGTCTGGCGAGACTCGCACAGTAACGAATGCGAAGGGACATACGATTCATCGAGAGGACGGGGTTCCGTGACTCCCTCCGGATCGATACGTTGCATCACACGGAGCTGGAGATGTCAACATTGCGCGGGCACGGAGATATTACGATTGCACCCTCGTGTCCGGTTCCATCAATGCAGATTGACCGCAATCTCGGCGTAACGCACTGCTTATCCTTTTCTAATTCTAAGAATTAGAAATTAGTTAAGCCGAGATTACAATCTACATTCATCGAGATGGACATCAGACCTCTTTTTCATACCGCTCCGTTTATGTCATAGGTGATCTAGAAGAGATTCGTTATCATTGGATGAATTGGACGGATATTTTATTCGACGAAACAACCGAGCCTTGGTAATATCTTCCTTTCTCCGTTTTGTGCCGGTCGAGTGATAATTTTTCTCCGAAAATTCACAAGGAACCAGCGCGAAACGAAGAAAGAGGGATATCAAGGATCGGTTATTGCTTCGAATAAAGATAATAATATTATAGTAATGACACACAAAAATGAAGCATGTATCTGGAAAGCAACTTTTTGAGTGACGTAATCGCGTTTCTGAGACGCGAGGAATGCGAAAGCCGACTGCGTCAAGGCCGGCTCTATTATTAGCCGGGTTTTTCGCCGTAGTTGGAAGTGTTAATTAATATACCGTAATGGTGTCCCGTATAAACACTTTCTGTGTTCGCTAAATTAGCCGGTAGACCTCGATCGCCTCGATGCGCCGCGCCGGTACGCGCGAAAGCGATCTCCGCCGAAGGAGGACAATCGCTGGCCGCCGCGACTATAATCGGCCGATATGCGCCATAAATTCAAACGACGCGTTCTTCTTTCGCAGGTGGTCCAGAATGGCTTGGAGATCCTCACGTATCTCGCGGATCGGATGGGTCACGACTTCAAGCCCTACATCTCCACCATCATCCAGCCGACGATAGACAGGCTAGGTGGGTATCTGTTCCGCCCGTTTGTCCCGTAAATCACTTTCGAGGAGGAATCCGCTCGGCGTCGTGTCGTAAATTTCTGTTATTATTCACGACAATCGATAGTTCCGCCAGCGAATGGCCGATAATTCGCGATAACCGAAACCCTTGTGCATTCCTGCAACTGTTCTTCATTTGCGGTATAAAAGATAGCCGGGGATAATTTTAATATCGGACACCATCCTGGATTAGCGAATCTCACGGAGAGAACTTTTTTTTTAATTTATCCTTGTAATCGTGAGATAACACGGCATTTCATAGAATTTTGTGAGCAAAATTTTTACTAGTAAAATGTATGGTAAAATTTCAAAAAACTCAAAATTTTTCGAAAGTCCCACGATTACATGATTTTTAGGATAAATTTTAAGAGGAAATTCTCTCCGCGCGGTGATATCTCTTGCTTATATCCTTCTGAAGTATCAATAAAGTTAATTTTTTTTTCAATCGTTGCGCCACACAGTAACCTACAAGAGTATGCGTAGGTCAAAATGCCGCGCGTTTCAAAGTCGGACCGGGATTAGCGTAACCTAGAGTCCCCTGTAGTAAGGGTGCTTTCACATGGAGCGTAAATTGCGTAGCATAACCTGCGTATCACCAATCATGCAGATAGAACCGTTTCAATAATTCCGTTGAACTAGTCCTGTGATTGGCGATACGCAGGTTACGCTACGCAACTTACGCTCCATGTGAAAGCACCCTAAGAGTCTGGCAAGAAATATTCTCCGTTTGATTGGTTTGACGCAAAATGGCGGAACCAATAAGGTGTCTCGAATCTGTACTCTGAACGCGGGATTATTATTATTATTATTTGGTTACCTTTGGTCTGTTCGTTATCGCTGCATTACTGCACTAGTGCAGTAATGCAGCGATAACGAACAGACCAGACGCCATTTTGCGTCAACCCTTGCCAGACTCTTACTACAGGGACTCTAGCGTAACCCAGTGCGTGGTGTAAAGATACAAGGTGAAACATTGCGCATGTAACCAATTTTTGGGGCAAATTGGTCATCGGTTCTTCCTGCATTCACCCGCAATGATTTGCAGTTTGAAGGTTGGGGCAAATTTCTGGTCAATTCGGTAGTTTGGGCCACTTCTGATTGATTGACACTGCGCACCCACCAGATTGCTTCACCTTGTATCTTTACACCATGACCCAGTGTGTCGTTCGAGGATTAATTGGGAAGCTCTACCATCCCTAGTGTCTCGAGAGTGAGCTGCGCGAACATTTCGCCGCGCGTCGGGTGAATCATCGTTAGCCGCTAAATGAGCTTCAAATAGAACCGAGCCGGAGTGACGTTTGAACGCCTTTAATGAGGTTGCAAGTCTATGCCAGATGCGTACACCATATTTGTCGAGAATAAGCGTCCTCGGTTCTGACGGCACTCGCGAACGCTACGTCGCGAGTTCTCCCAATTTTCGCGTGTCGATGAACTGAACTCGCGTTTGTTGCAGGCGACAGTAAAGACGCTACCAGGGAGAAGGCGCAAATGGTGCTCCTGAAAATTATGGAGAAGGGGTGCATGTCGCCGCAGAATCTTCTGGACCGACTTCGTCCAGCCTTCAATCACAAGAATGCAAAGTTACGAGAGGAGGCTCTGATCCTGTTGACGACGACGCTGAACGAGTGAGTGGGCGCGATTTTGCGTTTGTCTCGGACGAATTATACGAAAAACGATAGGTCTCTTTCAACTGAAACGGTTGAATCTTTCCAGGCATGGGGCGGACGAGATGGCGCTGTCGGGGGTGATCCCGAGTATCGTCAAGCTGCTGTCGGATCCGTCGGAAAAGGTTCGGGAAACTGCTCTGAGCACGCTGGCGGACATCTATCGACACGTAGGCGAGAGATTGCGCGTCGATTTGCAAAGGAAGCACAATGTGCCGCAAGCCAAGTGAGTGAAATGGCCGGAGAAAGCGATCTTGTCTTTCGGCGCGCGTGGACTTTTTCATGGCTTGTCTCCTAATCGCGATTTATGCCCGTTTCTCAATGCAGATTACCTTCGATCTCGGTTTAACTTTGCTTCTCGTCTTTTTCCAGCCTCAGGAATTGAAAAGTAAGTTAAACCGGGATCAAAGTTAATCCGCATCGTTAGAAATGGGCATTAGTCGTTCGAGAAACTGTTCTTCTTGTTAAACGTCAACTGATCCGTTAGAGAAACCATAAAATCCTCGATCGCGGAGCGTTATGTAAACGGGGCTCGCCCCTTCTGCTTACAGAATGCTCCTGCTAATAGAGAAGTTCGATCAACTGAAGGCCGCCGGTGATCTTTTACCCTTGGCAATGTCATCCGACGGTGAGTAGACTGATTGAATTCTACGACGCTGCGGGGTACCGCTTAATTTAAGCTCGACGACGACGACGACGAAGACGAAGGAAAGTAAGGCGCGTGTGTGCCACGCGGCGCATAACGCTATTCAACGTGCGAGCACGAGGCTTGTATCGTGCTGCCATCGCGCAGCCGTGGAGCTTATCACGCTGCGATCCTGCCTTCGCATGCAGGAAGACTCCTCCACCTGTCTGCTCGCCCCGCCCCGTCCACCTCGCAGCTTAACGTTACACGTATACATCATGAATATTTACCGAGGACCGCGTGTTCCCCGATGTGACGGGAATACGCGGCGCTTGCCCGTGTACCTTGCAGCCGACTTGGATTTAATGACACGTCGGTATCCCGGCTCGATCGGAATGTTTTTTACATCCAACACTTCCGGCGAGGGGGAACGAGCGACGCTCGGTGACAACGAAATAACGAGTTGGCGAGGAGAGAAAAGTCGCTCTCGCCTTTCCGCCGCGTAAAGTTTCGTTTCCTTGAACGGGCGGCGCAACGAGGTCGGCAATTGGCGTTATCTACCCACCGCCGGGGAGGGATTATATAATATTGCGTACGGAGCGATAGAACCGTGCGCGATATATCGTATCGGTGTATTGTTTCAAGCGCTGCTCCGCGCCTGTAATCCACACCGGAGCCGAGACGGTCCCGCTCCGAAACGGACGGCCTTGCAGCGCCGCGACTGCTCGCGTTACGTGTCGCGCCGGCGACCGAGCAGTCGACCGCACACTTGGCACCTTCGCGTCTCGATTGATAGGAAAGAATCCCGGAGAACCGCCGAGAGAACCCGAGGAAAAGGTTCGCCCGTGGCATCGTCCCGCTTGCGCAATCGATTGCAACGCGTAGCGTCGAGGGACTTCCTCGTGTACGCGCGATTGCGACACTCCGCAAATATCATCCCGCCGTCTTTATCTCGCCCAAGGTTTATCGCGACTTTCCGCGACATTTCTCGCTCGAGCACCGCGCGCGATTATTAGTCGCCGTCATTAATTACCGCGTTATTCGCGGCAGTTCCGCGCAAAGGCCAGGCGGTTCTCATCGGTTCGACGAGATTGTTTATCGTCCAATATAAATTGCTCTCGCGAATCAAAGTAATTAAACATTCCGCCGTCGCGACACGAATGTCGTGGTGGAAAAGTTTGCTAAATAACTGCCGATTAACGCGAGGCTGTTCGTCATTCCCGGTGAAAGCAGCAATTAGAATCGATGGCACATATCGATGGCGCGCCGAAGAACTCTATACACTTTCGTTATTCGGTGAATTTTAAGTGGAGTCTAATGAAATCTTTTTTTCTCCCGCCGTCGCCTGTCCCTCTCCTCCCCGAGGATGCGCGCCGTGTTTTCTCCGCTACGGCCTGCGCATTTACGATCACGATTAGATCATACCTGGGCTTGGCGAGGAGATGCCACGGCGCTTCGCTTCATTTCAGAGATATTAATAGAACTCAAAATAGCCGTGAAGCGCTAATGACGATCTTCCGCGGAGAGCCGCCGCGTCCGTCCCTTTCATGGACATTCGAACTTCCGGCCGTGGCCAAGTCCGAGGGATCAATCTCGGGCGTTATTAGAGCGACTCGCGCCGCGCTCTGCACGCTGATTACGCGTCCATGAATATCTCAGCCTCCCGAACGGGCTGCACCGCGGCGGCATTGCGGAATCCCGGCGTCGCCGTCCGACACCACGCACATCTAGCCGTACCTCGTGCATGTTAAATAAATTGAAAGCGTATAATTTAATCGGCGTTATGCCGCGCGAAGAAAATTCAATTTACCCGCGCGATTTGAATAATTCCGAAGAACCAATCTTCGCTCGGCCGCGCGTTACACATCGCCGTCTTGTCTTATTCATTCATGCATAAACGCGAACGACGTTTGCTTAACGGCTCCGCGTACATTCAGTTTTCTGCTTTTTTACGCATTTGCGCATACTTCGCGATCGGTGACGCAATCGCGCTCGTGTGACACCCGTCCGCCGTGTATTCGACGACCAGATTCCTCGCTCGTCGAATACGAGCGAGAACCGCAAGGGCGATTTTTTTTTTAATTTTTGGGCGGTTTGTTTCTTCGTAACGCGGCGAAATACGCCGATTGGAATCGTCATCGCGCCGGTATCCTCGCAGTTATGCGACGCGGAAAGGTTGCGCGCGTCCGGCGCGAGCGAGCAAAAATTTGCATAAGTCTCGTTTTCGCTCTCTCTTTCCCCGTGACCCCGTGCAGCGCGATTGTGTTAGAAGTTCGCGTTAAGGCACGGTTACACCACGCGATCTCTCTCTCCGGGACCCGTCGTCGTTTCTCCCGACGTGTCTCCTCGCGAGCGAACGCGGCGGTAGCGATGCGAGCGAAGTCGACACGATAAAAAGAGAAAAAGGAGCGCGTTCGTCGTAAAAAAGATATTATACACATATATTTTGTAAAACAAACTGACACTTTCGCGACTCGTATGTTTATCCCCCCGATATCCCGTACTTACGATCGCCGGCTACGGATATGCAAATTGCCGAGATCGATCGCGAAACGGAGCGGTATCTCCGAGATCTAGATTTAAATTAAGTCGTAAATTTAAATTATCTTATCTCGGACTCCGCGGTAACTTTAATCACGGCGTGTCAGCCCGCGTTGAGGATAATTCCGCGGCCGGTTTCCCGCGCGCTTGTTGACGCGATCGGAAAACCACCCCGGTTTGCGCGTCGCGATTTTCGCATCGCCACCCGCGCCCGCTCTCGATCTCGCGCCTTATTACGCGACCTTACCCCGCGGGCAGCGAGATGCAATGCGAACGGCACACGTGCGCGAGTGAAAGGTAGGGTAACACGCAGATTTATCTCCGCGGAGCGGCGCGCGGTTCCAGCCGGTGTGCGCGCGCGATCAGATATGAAAATACAGAATAATGCCCGGCTGCTGCCCTTTCATCGCGCGTTCTTTGACCGTTGCCCCGTTACCCTTCGCGTAGCCTACGAGACCGTCCGGATCTCTCGCGGAAAAGCGAAGAAAGGATTGGATTCTACTCAAGTTCTTATAGCGAATTCGGTTGCTCGCGCACTGGTGCGCGCTAAGGCTTGTTTACAGTCACTTGTTATATTTAAGGATCGTCTTAAATGTCTCTTGAAATATTTCTTAGCCAGTAAGATGATCTGTGTGGCGGATCATATTCTGACTAAATATTTTTTTAACGTGCATTTAACCCTGCGCATACGGACTGGGACGAAAACGACCCGAGCGAAATTTCATTCGAGAATTCCCGGAAAACCAAGAACGGGAGAGGGTCGGCTCCCCTCCCTAAAAAAACTTAGTGTCGGTAGGGT